GGCTGTATTTAGACTGATGATACTTGGCAGGATTTCACTGATGGAAGGAATTTATGAAAACAACAGGTAAAAGAAAAGAGCAGAAACAAGTTCCAGGAAGTTCTGCACATCTGTTTCAAGAATCCGTGATGCTATAAAAACATCAAGCAGTCTAGAGTCTGATTTAGATTCCTGCAGCATCTTCCCTGGGGTTGCATAGTTAAATCATAGACTTTTATTAACTCATTGGAGCTGGCATTGGGAGCAGGAGCCAAGTCACGACAACACTGTGCTGTGTCCAAAGGGTGCAATATGCTTGATAGCAAGATTTCTAAGACATATTATTTGAGGGGGGAAAAAACTACATGTGACTGTTAAATGCTTTTTCCCCATTAAGTAAAACTGGCACCTGGTTTTAGTGGGCAATAAAGCTGTAGACAGCAATAATTTGAAAAACGTTTGGTGCTGCCTCTAGTTTTAATTCTATTCCTGATGATTACTTTATTAAATGGAGTTCTATTCTCCTACTCATCCTCCATGACTACATTTTTGCAGTTCTACGTGAAAATAAACTTTATATTTTCTTATTATGATGGCTGTTAGCTTGGCCATTAGAATCAACCAAGAGTAAGATTGGACAATCTGAATTAAAAAAATTGAATAAATTAATTGTCCCTACACTATAAACATTGATGTAGCTAGAGAGAATATATTAAAAATATGTAAATAGATGTCTCTGATGGTAATACATCAGTGAGTATGTGTCTCTCTGTGTGTGTCTGTCTGTCTGATCATGCATGTTCTTCCCCCTCGCTCTGCCTACACACAGATATTATAAATTTTATTAATAAGATCAGAAGGCATGGTATCAGATAATAAGCAATGCACATTTGGCCTGGAGGGCACATTAGAAGTATTTTCTTTTGTTTGTTTGTACACAAAGGTTTACTTCAGGGGTGAAATGTAAAATTTGTTACTACCGGTTCTGTGGGCGTGGCTTGGTGTGCGGGGGGGGGTGTAATGTGACTGGGTGGGCGTGGCCAACTTTAAAAAAAAAACTTTTCAAAGCATTTTTTCTAATGCTTTGAAAAGCCTCTGCCATCAGGCAACTCAGCTGGGATCGTCAGAGAGGCTTTTTAAAAAATACCTCTCTGACGATCCCAGCTGAGTTGCCTGATGGGCAGAGAGGTATTTTTTAAAAAGCCTCTCTGACGATCCCAGCTGAGTTGCCTGATCGGCAGAGAGGTATTAAAAAATGTAAGAGGTTGTAGAAAAAAATGCTTTGAAAAGCCTCTGATGATCCCAGCTGAGCCGCGCGATCATCAGAGGCTTTTTTTTAACTTTTAAAAGCATTTTTTTGTCAGAAGAGGTTGTAGAAAAAAATGCTTTAAAAAAAAACAGTCTCTGATGATCGTGCGGCTCAGCTGCGCATGGGAGGGGCGGGCGCAGGGATTTTTGCTACCGGTTCTCTGGTCTCTTTGCTACCCGCCGCCATCACTACCAGATCGGGCGATCCGGTCCGAACCGGGAGCATTTCACCCCTGGTTTATTTGTACATTTCAGTGATGCCCTTAGTGAACAGAAGACAACACAACTTCTACAATAGATAGAGTTTAACATGACAACGGTTTGCAAATTTGAATCCATATTTACAACTTAGAATAAAAGATACATGAGAAGAAAGTACTGTTTTGGAGACTCTTCCAGAAGAGTTCTTTGTAACAATTTGTTGACAACCATATCCTGTGACCAACAATGGGATTTTCTATTACTGTTTTGGATCTTTTCTCTACTTTTATTTGAATAACTTTTCTAGCTCAAAAATATTCTTATTCTCCTTGTGTGATCTCTCCAAGTGTTTCAATACCATTCAGTATTTCAAGATAAAGTAACATTTAGGGAAGAATATTCCAAAATATTCATTGTGTGTGTGTGTGTGTATGTGTGTGTGTATGTGTGTGTGTGTGTATGTATATATATATATATATATATATATATATATATATATATATATATATATATATTCATGCTATAGTATTATACAGAAGATATAGCTAAAGTGAGTTGTTCCAGAAAACAAAATAAGGAACCATATTTTTTTATTTTTTTATTTTATTTTGTCGCATTTCTATGCCGCCCAACTGCCAAGGGACTCTGGCTTAGACCATAGGCTTAAATAGCAAAATAAGTAGAGTTTAGTTGGACATCAGGAACTGAGGTAATCCTTGGAAAGATGGGTTTGCCAGTCTTGCCCCCCACCCCTGGAATGACTATCCTTTCAGTTATACAGTAGTGAGATACAAGTAGCCTTCATAATCTTGCCAATCCCATTCTTAAAATGAAATAAAATTTATGCCAGCACCTTTAAGTGTTAACTTGGTATCCAATTTCTCATTGTCAAGAGACTTAAACCTGCCCTAATTTTACATAGTTTAAAAGTAGGAACTGACCCAAACATGCATACTAGATTGAACATCTTTGAATTCAAATTTAGACTGCTAAGAGAATTTAAGTAAATTTCCAGTTGCACTGACAAAACCAGCATAGAAATGTATCATTCCATTTGTACAAGTTAGAATAAATTTTAAGGTTGTAGCATAAAAGAAGTTGCAGGCTAAGAGAATGAATGAAATTCAAATCATGTTAGTGTTGCATCTCAACAGTGCTATGGCAGCCTAGGAGATGAGGTAATAGAATTATTTGCTAGCTATTCACAACATGTCAGAAACACTGCTCTACACCCACAACACAGTATTCTTCATAAAAGTGAAGCTACAACTTTGTATATTGGGAAAGTGCAAATCTAACCATTCAGATAATGGGATGCTAGACACCTGCAAGATCAGCACAGGAGAAAATGAACGCTTTGGAGATTATTAGAACATTCTAGGCCTGTAGCAGTTATGAATAACCCTGATGTGTATTGACTGTTGCAAATTCTGAAGCAGAAGAAAAACCACAAAATCTATAAAATAAGTTCAAAGTTATGATATGTTCTTGAACCACCTGATTAGATTTGATTGTTTTGCTTTGAAGCATGTTCCTGCTTCAATTTGTGAATCAGCTTTGATGGGTTGATTCAATAAAGGGGTTTTAAATCAAAATACTCCTTTGGAGCTTTGAACAGCTATACTTAATAGCATCCTTTCCCTCTACTCTCCAATTGTTTTGTCCTGTAATCTCCAGAATTCCTGGGCATAAAAGAGAAAGGAATAGTTTGTCAAGTAAGCCAATACCAGCTTCTCTCCCAAAATGATGAGATTTAATGCAACACCTTTGTCCCACTATAATATCACTATTTCATAATCAAAAGGTAGAAACAAGTAGAAAAATAAATTAATCATTTTTAACTCATTAAGGTGGTAAAAGGAGCCATGGTGGTGTACCGAAGCTTGGTGGTGCAGTGGTTAGAATGCAATATTGCAAGCTAACTTTGCCCACAGCCTGGAGTTCAATTCTGACTGGCTCAAGGTTGACTCAGCCTTCTATCCTTTCAAGGTTGGTAAAATAAGGACCCAGACTGTTGGGGCCAATATGCTGGAGTTGTAAACCACTTAGAGAGTACTATAAATCACTATGCAGTGATATATAAGTCTAAATGCTATTGCTAAAAAGCTGAAATCCAACAAAGAAAGATGGAAAAAGAGTCAGTCAGACTGATCAATTTATTGCCCTTAATCATTATCATTTGAATATTTTATTAAAAGTTAGTAAATTGAACCTGTTGCAATTTATTAAAGGTAATTTGTTCTTTGCAAACTGAGTCCATAGTTGTGTTTTATTAGAGGAAAAAAAATAATTCCAGTTTGGGAGAAAAATCCATAATTCAGAAAAACACAGGGTTGTAGTATTCTGACAATAATATCATGATCCTTTGTTTCTAAAAAGCCCTCAGGGAAAAAACCCTAAAAATCTCTGAAATTGAAGAGATATAATGCATTCATCCTTATTTCCAACCTAGTTAGTTATTAATTCTAGTGAAATTGAAATCTTAAATATGGTTTTTGGCAGGCCTTCTCCTGGGCTTCTAACAAAATTGAAATCTTTTTTTTCCCTCAGAGACATTGGAAAAGCTGCTGATGAAATTTGCTTCCCTTAACTTCCATCCTACTTTATTATATTTAGCTTAGGCCAGTTGAATGTTAGGATTCTGATGAAATATTCCAGTGGCCAAGGCTAAATATCTAAGTCTGAATCCTGTCTTTTGTGCTTATAAAAGAAAATTAAGATGGTTACTATTTTCAGAGATTCCAAGTAGCAGAATTATTGACCTGATAACTTTGTAGTGTAAGGAATTTAAGCATTTTGGTATGTAGAAATGGATCTAACAATGGACTTTGCCTATAATTAACAAACATACAAAACATAGTGGTGATTGATGACCATCCAAATGTTTCATTGGAAAATAATGGCTTTGTTAACCTGCATGATGTGATTACTTGTCAATTGAGTCTGATTTTATTGTTAATATAAATTTTCATAATTTAGCAATTAACTTCATTTAATATTATTAAAATATAGAGACATGTATATTTAGCATCTACTATAGAACTGATTAGAGATGTGGTGGCTCAGTGGCTAAGACACTGAGCTTGTCAATTGAAAGGTCAGCAGTTCAGCGATTTGAATCCCCAGTGCCACGTAATGGGGTGAGCTCCCATTACTTGTCCCAGCTTCTGCCAACCTAGCAGTTCGAAAGCACGTAAAAAATACAAGTAGAAAAATAGGGACCACCTTTGGTGGGAAGGTAACAGAGTTCCATGCGCTTTTGGTGTTTAATCATGCTGGCCACATGACCACGGAAATGTCTTTGGATAGCACTGGCTCTTCAGCTTTGAAACGGAGATGAGCACCACCCCCTAGAGTCGGGAACGACTAGCACAAATGTGCGAGGGGAACCTTTACCTTTATAGAACTGATTAAAGCAGAATTCAAGCCTACCTACAAAAATGACAAGATAAGATGGAGTGGAGTTATCTTAAACCTTGCTCTAAAAGATTCTCATATTCCAGTCAACATACCGTCAACTCCAGTGCTTCATTGAGAAGGCCATTGCGCTTACTGTGAAGGTAGGCGTGGGAAGTTCCTGTTTTGGCTACACGAATCCTGGCTAACCGGGCTTTCTGCAAAAGGAAAGAAAGAGGAGACAGGTTAAATTTCAATAGTAATGGGTGATATCTGAATCTGAATATTTAAAATTTGATTCTTCTGGAAGTGTAAAATAGTGGAGATAATATGGGCTTGTCCTCCTATTATTGCATTTTTCTTTATCATATAGTTCTGTAAAAATGATTTTGGGAAGAGTAACATGGTTGAGAGCTGTGAATATGTTTTGAGTGACATAAGATTGAATTTATACTTTGAGATAAAGTATAGCAAAAAAAACCCCCAAAACCCAAACAAACTTCAATGCTGTTTTATAAAGGAGACAATGAGGAGTTATATGTGTTACTGAACTAGATCTGTAGTAATATATTGAAAGGTTTGATCAATTATTCCATATGATCAAGATTTAATGCTGTGTTTAAAAACTGAAATATTTTCTGCAGCTAGGTATTTCATTTTTATGATTTTCTTTCACCCCATTTACTCTTATTTTTATTTTATTTCATTCTTTTTTTATTCCTATATATTACAGCAAATATTTAAAAAAACAAATCCATCATTATTGAGCTACGTACTTTTCTTTCTACTGATAAAGCATGCAACCAAAGCTAAGCATCAGCATTTTTACTATTTTTACTCTTAACGAAAGTTAATAATTGCTACTATTTATTATTTCTATTCATTGTTGGTTAGGCTTGGGTTTAAACACTGAAGTCTATAAGAAAAATCCTGCCTCAATTTTATGTCTGCTCAGTGACTGAGTTAAAAAATCATAGAGTTCTGCCACACGCAGAGAATGCTCTGCCTCTGAAGCTTGACTCCTCACTATCACTATCGATGGAGCAGCAAATGCCTAGTACATTTTTGAGTGTCATATTCTTGCTATCCTTTACTAATGTGTTCCCTGGGTCTCTCTTTCTGGAATAATGTGCATTTCAATGTTCTCTCATTTGCTAATTAGGAAGGGTGTCTGCCTACAATGGTATCAGCCCACTGGTTGCAGACAAAAAGAGATGAAAGTAACAAATTGTGTGAAGGGCTTAATTCACTGCCTGTTGGGTATGATTTGTAATTTCAAAATGGATCAGTATCTCTCAAGTCTATTTCACTAATAATTTGGAACAATCCTGACTTACCTACAACTGAATAAGGGAAAGAGTGAGGACATTGTGCATATTTATGCTGCAATCCTATTGAATTAAACTGCCTTTGGTGGAAACTATTTCCAAGAAACTATACTTAGGATATAAATATAACAATGGCACTCTAAACATATTCAGTGGCTGTTCTTCAACAAACTACAAGAGTAGCACAGAGGAAAAACTACAACAATGAACCTAGCAGGTATGCCCATCAAATCTCAGGTGTCTTGTTTCTATACCAATGTGGAAATATGAAAATTAAACACAAACATAAACTAGGGTCCCTAAATCAGGAAGACAAAACAAAACTTGACAGAATGACACTTACATTTGTCACATAGTATTAAAAACATAGTAGGTAAAAGAAACAGGTGCAATAGAAAAATGTATGCATATTATACTATATAAAAGAAGACAATATATACTTGCACAGAAATCTAGGAATTAAAACATGGAAATGGTGTTAAAAATATTTGGGTAAAAATAAAAGAATAAAGAAAAGTGATGCCACCAGGGGAGTTTATTTTAGACCACCTAAGCACATAAAGGAGATGGATGAGGTCTTTCTGTGTCAAATGACCATTCTTTCAGAGACACATACAATAATGGGATAATGGGAGATTTGACATTTGTGGGAAATATAAATCTGCTAAGAGTCAGAGGTCTAACAGATTTTCTTTTGTTGGCAACTTCACTTGTCAGAAGATGGAAGACAGAAGAAGGAAGTCTGCTACTGTGGACCCAATCCTCTCCAGCACAAAGGAATTGTTTGAAGGAGTAATGGCAGCTGTTATCATAAGGAAAGTCATCCTGGGATCTTTGAAATTGAAATTTTAGTTTGAAATATTTAATAGAATAACAGAGTAGGAAGAGAAGTTGGAGAACTTCTGATCAACCCCCTGCTCAAGTAGGAGACCCTAAACCATTTTAGACAAATACCTGCCTATTTTCAAATGTGCTGAATGACCACACCCATCTCTTCTTAAAAATCTCCAGTGATGGAGCACCCACAGCTTTTGAAGGCAAGCCATTCCATTATTTGTTCTAACTGTCAAGAAGAAATTTATGGAACTGTCAGGAATTTAGGGAAGGAGAAACTGAGCTCTGCATATTAGACCCTGGAATAGTAGTTTTTAATGAATTCTGAGGGAGGTTAGGCTGGATCCTATGGGTTGAATTTTTGAAAGAGGGAAGCATCAGGAATGAAGGGAAATCCTATAGAATGAGGGAGTATAAGAGTCACATCTGAACAAAACATATGAAGAGAAGAAACTGGAGAAATCTAAAAAGGTTAGCATGAACAAAATGCTGAAGACAAAAAGAGATATTTATAAGGAATGGAAGGACAATTGAATAAGCCAAGAAGAATATAAGGCTGTTTCCTCAAACTGTAGGAACTGTGTCAGCAAAATTAAAGCTGGGAATGTTTTAGACCTGAAAACTATAATAATAACAACAACAACAAAGGTTCCTAGACACAAAAGGAAAGGCCAAGACCATGTAGGTTCTTTGCAAGAATGAAATCTTGACTTGGTAAAGGGTAATATGAGAAGGCAGAACTTCTTAACTCCTCTTTTGCCTTCGTCTGTAGCTAATGTACATGCATTAGATAGTCACTTCAGTAATCTGGAATGTAAACCAACAGACAAATTTGTGGAACAGCTGTTAGACTCTGATAATTCTGGACAACTCCAGAAGACTGAAGGAGAGCAAATACCATTCCCATTTTCCAAAAACCGGAAGGACTTGGGCATGTACAGAATTCTCAGTTTCATGTCTATAAACAGAATTTCATAGGTTACAACTGATTCTGATGTTTCAGAACTACAAATAAGCAGAAAGCAGGGGTTATTTCAAAATGTTATTAGGAAAAGGGGAAACCTTCAAAATACCGAGTAAGACTTTAAATGTCAGAGATGCTTTTAAAGAACAGCCATCCTATTTTATCCCAAAATGTTTTATCTGCCAAAATGATTGATAAACATCTTGACTGACATTTGTCCTTTAATGAGATGGGTTTCACTTTGCTGTGCCTGGAACATCTTTTAACCATTTTATTTACTTAGCTTTATTTTATTTATAAGCATTTGCACACTGTCTTTTCTCACAATTCTAGGCAGGCTACAATACATAATAAACTTTCTGTATAATACTAATAAATTCAGCCCATTAAAAACAAAAAAAGTGCAAGAATTTGGGCCCTGGTCTTATGAATCTGCACTTACTTGCTCCTGCTGATCAAGTCCTCAGTTTCTGACTCTGTCATACCATCAAGGTAAGCCAGGTCAAGAAACAGACCCAACAGGGATTCCTGGAATGCTCTTTATTTTTGGGGGTAGAATAACAGAATCTTGAAAGTTATTCCATTTTACCCCAAGCAAAATCAAGACAGGGTTATCTTGAGTTTCTTTCTCACACTTTCTTCTTCCTCAATTGTATGTTTCCTGAGATTCTTCCCTTAACAGTTTGATTATTCCTTTTGTGTCTTAAACCCAGATGTTTTCTTGATTTCAGTATTTTGTGAAAGAATGTTTCAAATTCAATCAAACTTTGTTACTTAAAACAATCCTAGAAACAAAAACCATACATTATTTGCCACAAATAATTAATTTTGCTTAGAGATGTTTATATTTCATGGGAAAAAATAAACAATGCTACATTCTCACACAATATTTCACATAATAAAGAATAATGATTAAAGTTGAAAATTTCCATGAATTTATTAAAATTAATTAAGCTATTAATTCAGTTTAATACTATTCATATTGACTAGTAGATGCAAGTACAATATTTCTAATGATGATCAGTTTAAGGTTTTTGAATGGAAGCTTGATGCTGAGAGTTTATAAAAGCAAAACTGTAATTCATATTCCACCATTCTTATGAGTGCAAACTGATGTTCTGGCCTCAAGGTACAAGGCCAGGTTATACCATTTCAGGTGAGGGTGTAACATTAAATGTTCTCCATACAAGAACAAACCAAAGAAAACAATATAGAAAACATAAAATAATTGTTCCTCCTAGCAAAAACTTACCATGGCTTATAGAAAATTTTTAACCAACTCTGGTGGTTTCAACTTTAAGGTTTAAAACAAGAGAGGAAAACTTTTTATAAGCTATCTCATTTTAGTCTGCTGACAGTGTTCATTTGATCATTTCAAGAATCCTGCTGCCTCTTCATCTTTGCTCAGGCCATATGGTGCATATCAGTATGTTATATCTTTGCTAGCGGTAAAACTCTGCTTTGAAAACTTACCATGTAGACTCTTTTAGAATCATTGTAGTTCAAAGTAATTTTGTTCATTTGCAGTTAGCATAATGAGGATGTGGGATGCATTTTAACTAATTTCTATAGGCCACCTACTAGAGTTCAGTTTTTTTGTACTGCTATCCACCCCCAACAATTGACATTATAACAAGCTGGTTGCTTCTGGTTTCACAATGCTGCCTGGCATAAGAGACCTATAAGACAGCCAAGAATGAGCATTTGAGTCCTAGTATACTTAGTACATTCAAATATCCTTCAAAGCAGCAGAAATGGCACATGAGATATCTTGCACATCCATAAATAATCAGGGTATTCATTTTCAGGTTAAATAATGAACATCCATTCCTAGTTTAATGACCAAATTACAATGACCAGGTCATTAATCAAAATGGTTGCTAAGCAAACGTGTGTGTGTGTGTGAGAGAGAGAGAGAGAGGGAGGGAGGGAGGGAGGGAGAGGGAGAGAGAGAGAGGGAGGGAAGGAGGGAGAAGGAGAGGGAAGATCCTATGAAGATCACAGGTTGCTGCTATCTTATTCAGATAAAGTTCTGGCATATAGCTACAGCAGTGTTACTATCACACCAACATGCATTGTTGTCATATGCACA